TTTCATCGATACTCAGTAATAGACGAGATAAACTGTTACTTCCCATTGCCTTGTTCGTTTCAGAAGTACCAGGTAGAATTTTACCAACAAGGCTTCATACATATTTCCAGTAATTGTTGAGTGATTTAATTGTATATTGTCTTGCTATTACTTTGATCATATATCACATTATTTCTCATTTTTGAATACCTGGACTTATATAAATTTTATGTAATTCATGTTTATATTTATCCAAGTTCTCAGAAACTGTAACTGCTGAAATTGATCATAACTCTCCTAATACAGGTGTAATTAAAGTGAGAGATGCTTTTTGGCTCATGAAAAAAAAGGCTGTAGATCAAGTCTCAGTAACTTCTAGTTAATCCTATAGAAAGTTAGCCAAAATAATGTATAGCTTCTTTAAATTCTTCTAAGGAAAAAACTCCATTTTGTTTCTTGAAATGAGGTATTGCTTTGTCACCCAGACTGGAATACAGTGACACTTTCACAGCTCACTGTGACCTTAAACTCCTGGGCTCAAGGGATCCTCTCACTTCAGCCTCCCGAGTGGCTGGGACTACAGGCGCAAACCACTGTGCCTGGCTTCATGAGAAAAAAATTAAATATATAATGGTACTAGGTAAAATAATACTAAATAAGAAATCATTTGAATGCATACTATATTAACTCTGGAATAACAATACTTAAATAAAAGAAAAGTGTTTGTTATAACGAAGGGAAGCTTGTAGTTCAGAGGATAGCTAAATTAAATTTGTTGCAGGCTGTGAGAAACATAACAATTAAACATAAATACATGAAATATGTAGATTTTTATATTTTTATTGAAAATTGCATAGAAATATTTGGTTTGTCTAGTTGGAACGTGTGAGTGATTATTATGCATATAAATAAATATTCAGTTATTGCTGATAAATTCATTGGTGGTAAAATAAAACATTTGTATAGGGTTTTGGAAGTCAAATCTTTAAAATCACTTCTCTGAATTCCCATTAGATGATTATTGCTACCAACAAAATTCTAGTAGGTAAACACAACCACCTTCTAAGAACTTAGAACTCTCAGGCTGGGCACGATGGCTCATGTCTTTAATCCTAGGACTTTGGGAGGCCGAGGCAGGCAGATCACCTGAGGTCGGGAGTTCAAAACCAGCCTGAGCAACATGGAGAAACCCTGTCTCAACTAAAAATACAAAATTAGCAGGGTGTGGTGGGACATGCCTGTAATCCCAGCTACTCGGAAGGCTGAGACAGGAGAATTGCTTGAACCTGAGATCGTGCCATTGCACTCCAGCCTAGCAACAAGAGAAAAACTCCGTCCAAAAAAAAAAAGAGAGAACTTAGAACTCTCCAATATTAAATGGCCAGTTGCCTCAGAATAAAAACAAACCAAACTATTTCAACCAAGGTGAACTCTGAATAATTAATTCAATTGTTTCACTTTCTTCTTAAAGAAGTTGTGAAGAACTTTAAAATGACATGACTGTAGAACAATAGTGAGATGCAAAGAACAAAAACCACCACATAAGAAATTGTGAATTTCATTGAGCAGCTTTACTGTTCGTCTTAAAATGGTGCTAATTGGAGTTGGTTTTGCATTGCTCAGTAGCAGAGATAGAATTATGGTTTGTTATATGTGGTGATATAATATACAAATATACCCTCTCTAGCTTTCTCTACTGACATAATTAGATGCATTGTCACTCCAGCAGCAAGAGCCTGATGTATCTGCCTAGAATTCATGTTTTGATCTGTAAATCTCTAATAGTAATTGTGAAGAACTCAACTCAGTATGGAAACTGATCCGGTCACATATTTTTCTTCAGCCTCTTAAATAAACTGCACAGACTCTGAGGCCACACTATGCTGGACACACTGTAATTGCACAAACACAATCGTAGGGCTTTGTTCCAAGATGGTATTAAGACTTGATCTATGGATAAGATCAACTTGTGGGTGATTAAGAGGTGCCCCCACTAGTTCCCTGCAACTGGAAATTGTAAACCTACTTGTGTGTTTAAAGATGCTTGAAACAATATTGCAGAGAGAGGATGGTGAGACAGTGGAGTGCTGTATGATCCTGAGTGTTAAACACAATTTGATTTATTAAAATTAAGTTGCATTCCTAGGATACAAATAGTTTGTTTTAAAAAGTAGGCATAGTATTACCCTATTTTTGTTGTTGTTGTTGTTGTTGTTTTTGTTTTGAAGACAGAGTCTCTCTCTGTCACCCAGGCTGGAGTGCAGAGGCACGATCTCAGCTCACTGCAACCTCTGCCTCCTGGGTTCAAGCAATTCTCCTAGCTCCACCTCTGGAGTAGCTGGGATTACAGGCGTGTGCCACCACGCCCAGCTAATTTTTGTATTTTTAGTAGAGATGGGTTTCGCCATGCTGACCAGGCAAGTCTGGAACTCCTGGGCTCAGGTAATCCATCTGCCTCAGCCTCCCAACGTGCTGGGATTACAGGCGTGAGCCGCCGCGCCCAGACACCCTATTTTAATATATTTAATAAAACCAAATAGTCAAAAAGTTAAGATGGATTATTTGTGGGCGTTTGGATTTTGAGTGATTTGTAATTCACTAATTTTCTTTTCTGTTATCCAAAGTATCTACAATGCTATTAATAATATGTATTATTACTACTATATAAAAATCTTCAAAAATTACAATAAGATATCACTTTACATGTACTAGAATGGCCATTTTTAAAAGGCCTATCATAACAATTATAGATGAGGATATGGAGAAGCTGGCACCCTCCTACACTGCTGGTGGAAATGGAAATTGGTGCTTTGGAAAACAGTCTGGCAGTTCCTTGAAGGTTAAACGCAGAGTTACCATATGACCCAGCAACTCCACTCCTAAGTATGTATCCAAGAGAATGAAATAATCTGTCCACACGGAAATTTGGACCTGAATATTCACAGCAGCATTTTTCATAACAGCCCCAAAGTGGAACTCACCCAAATGTCTATCGTCTGCTGAATGGATAGAGAATATGTGGTGTCTCCATACAGTGGAATATTATTCAGCCATGAAAACAAAGGAGGTTCTGTTATGTGGTATGACACGGATGGACCTTGAAAACATTATGCGAAGTGAAAGGATCCATCACAAAGGACAATATATTGTTTGATGCCTGTCTTAGTCACTTTGGGCTTTTTTAATAAAAGTATCATGGACCACGTGACTTAAACAACAGGATTTATTTCTCACAGTTCTGGAGGCTGGGAAGCCCAAGATCAAGGCACTGGTACATTCAGTGACTGGAGAGAACCTGCTTCCTTGTTCATAGATGGCTGACTTCTTTTTTTTTTTTTTTTTTTTT